AAGGCCGGTAGATTGAGGGTTTTAAATATTTATTTGAAAATGAGGAAGCTATCTTTTAATGAACGGTCGAATTACAATGGTCACACATCAGGTGAGACTCTTACGTGTAGTTAGAGCCTTAAAGATAAATCAAAATCAAATAATAATAAAATATTTTTTGAAAAAAAATTAAAATGAATATAAGATAATATAAGTTTATTTTAAAATTTAATATTAAAATTTGTGTTCTGTGAAATATTATTATTTAAATTAGTATAATGTAAATTTCAGAATAATTAAATTAGATTTCAAAATAAATTAATTTAATTATTTTAGTAAATTTTGAATAATTTAAGTATCCATACTCACAAAACTTTTAAATCATAGATTTATATCCTTCACTTAGTTATTAATCAGTAAGTTAATTAAACATTCTTTTTAATATATGCTAATACATAGAAGTACCCTTTTCTTTCCGAGTTTCATCAGTTAATCGTAATGCATTCCTATTATAGGTTTGCTTAATTTTTAAACTATCACAAATTTTGATGAGCGAAAAGAAAATATAAAGGACCAAAAACGATTACAAAGCTTATTTGTTTGAAACAACATAACAGAAATGGTCGTTCATTTTTGCAGACCATGTATGCATAGAAGAGAAGGCCCTGCAGTAATAATTACAAGGTTTTAAGCCACATCACGCCTCGACTGCGCCTAGGTGCGCCTAGGCTACGTGCCTCGCTTCAGTGTTGAAAAAGCCCCGTTCAGTGAGCCTCTGCGCTTTTGCGCCTCAGGCGCGCTTTTTACAACTATGAAAGACACGATCTTCAGTCCAAGAATCCTTGTCCAAAATTTGCAGCAAAGAAACTTCTTCAATAGGCACATCCATTAGTCTAGAGCTGTTTGATAAAGATAAGGACATCCGAGCTTGGTTAGCACCTCTATTCAATTCCATCAACCCAAAACTTTCATCTGCACACTGATACAGTGGCCCATCATTAGATAACATAGTCACTTCGTGTAATCCCTCACCCACATCATCCATTTGTACCATTTTGGAAGCTGCATGTTCCTCTCTAACAACCATCAAACCATTATCGCTCCCTTATCTCATCAACTTAGCATTACTGTCTGCAACAAAATCTGCATCAGAACCAACACCACCGGCACAATCCTCTGGGGTCCTTGAAACTAGCCCCTGATGTTCTTCAGCTACTAAACACGCTCCATCGCCGACCGAGGTACCATCTATGAAAACCCTACTCTCCTATTAGATTTCCGAATTAATTCTAATTGTAAAAATTCTACCATTAACAATAATGATACACTTCTCTGGTAAGGTCGACTCAAACTGCACCTCCATCAATATTCTCGCTTCATTGAATCTAACCCTTCTCCTAGTATCTTCATGGATCGATAACACTGTACCCCACGAGCTCCCTAGTTCCTTGAAAAACTTATCAAACCATACTAGAAGAGAAACGTCTTTAAGAATAACCCAGACTTTGATTTTTAACCTTTGCTCATAGCCTTCCAATAATTCCAACTCATCAAACTAGAGGCTCATCCATTCCTCCCTTCTGCCCCAACAAACCTGACGATCATCTTTTCCACTAAATTGTAAAATCGCCAAGAGATCGTGCCAAAAACTGACCTTAACCTCTAAACCTTCAGCTCAAAAAGCTGTTTGAATAATATCCTCATTGAACATTCTTTTAATTTTCCCCACTAAACAGCTTTCACTCCACCGTACCTCCTCTCTAGGAACAGGATGTTTCTGCCTATTGCTTTACTGTTCGAAGAACCATTCAAGCTATTGTCATCAACAATATTGACATGAAATACATTATCAGACTGTTTTATTACATGAGCCTGGTGAAATACTGTCCTATCTTGAATCTTTCCACCTTCTGCCTGCATACCGTCAACTACATCCTTAAAGGATCTAGAATCCCTTAACGTTGGTTTCCACACCTTGTTTACCATTATGCCATTCTCTGTAACCTTATTACTAACTGCACCATATTTGTTATGAAAAAATCTAATTTTGAATCCGTCCATAATTCGACCATCCGCCCTAAGAACAACTAAATTAGCTTCAGTTATACTCTTAAACCTCACAAAAGTAAAAGTAGAAGCAGCAACAAGTCTTTTCCTACTTTTGAACGCAATGAAAACGTCTATCACCACTCCATACACCTGAAATGCTCCCTTCAGTGCATACAGATGAATCCTCTTACTAACGTTGTTAACAAAGACTGAATAGCCTTTTGACATCTGAGCATATCGATCGGCTCCACCATCCCTCCCAAACTCTCTCTGACTACCCATAATTCTCATCGCTAATGAAAAGCTTCCAAAGAGACCAGAAACTATGAAAATATCTTTTAATTTGTGATAGAAACCTTCTATGACAATTTTTAACAACGTAACTCTACCACAAAACTTGTTGAGCTAATAGACTATTTTACTGAGACTTTTTCACAAACACATTGCATGCAGAAATAGTATAAGCAAATAAACTCCAGACCCAATATATCTTATCGTGATACCCACACAGATGAGAATATTATCTCATGACTTTAAAACTAAATATAAAATTGAGCCAAAATACCAGCAGGAAACAACAATCAATTTGTAATAGAACTTAAAGGCACTGCTAGAAGAGCAAGAATCAATCTCACCAAGCTTGAAGAGCAAACAGAGTCAACCGAGAAGCAAAATTGGGGATGAAACGCCAACCCTAATCCCCATTAACGACCCTCACTTGTAAGAATCTCCCACACCCAACCTAGCTGTATCTCAAATCTCAGAATTTTTAGAGGACAACTATCATTAGTCACCCTCGATTTGTTAACGTGAAGTAAACTTGCTTCGGGTTTCCTGATAATAGAGGATTTTTGTAGTAAAATGTTTGTTTGATTCCATAGAATTAAGGTCAAATTTAGGGGAATGATGTTGTTAGGTTTTGGTTATTTTGAAACTTTTTTAGAGCTTGAACGTGAGGTTTTATGTTACAGATGTAACTTTTTTCGATATTTACTCGATCTATCTTGATTTAGTAGAATTACAACCGATAATTTATAAAGTATAATGTTTTATATTATATGGATTTAATTATTTTATAACTTAAGGAACAAACAATGTTAAGATCAAACATCGAACGGGACTAAATTATTAAACTGTTAAGTTATAAAAATTTATTAAATATCTAAACTTAAAATTTAGAGATGATGTTTAATTTATCTAATATTTAAACTTATAAAATCGCAATTACTATTAGAAGAAAAAAAAGACCAATACCTCCCACCCTTATTTTAGTTTTGTCTATGTGATTGTGTATTCTTGCCATGAACTATAAATTGATATAATGAAACGAGATATTAAATTTTAATGTTTGAGCATGATAACACGAATAAAATATATTAAGTTAAAATAATGACATTATCATAAATTCTACAATAAATGATTTAGATTAATTACAAAGAAAATTGATTTGAAAGTAAGGGACAAAACTACATTTAATTTTTAAATTTAATACTTTTTAGTTTAGTGAGTAATTTTTTTCGTTTACATTAATCTCTATATTAGATAAATTTTAAATTTTAATCCTTTTAATGATGTGACATACATTCATTAGTGACAAAAAAAATAAAGTTCAACACTAATATAAAAAAATTTTAAGGATCAAGCTGGAAAAAGTTATAAATTGAAGGACTAAATATTTGCTTTATCCCTAAAAGAAAATCACCCGTCATTTTTATACCACCCCAAAACGGACCGTTTATGCCCGCTAGGGAAGAACTGAACTTAAGTGGCTAACATCTCTTATATGGCGGTGGCTGACAGGCTTGCCTTCTTGTTCTGCTTCCTTGAGATAAATTAGGCTAAACAATCACTAAAAGCTTCTTCGGCGATTCATTCTGGTCGGTGATTGGAGCTCCGGTCGAGGCCGGCCGGACAAGGTGTAGTATTTTGGGGTTGTCGCCGTCGTGTGGGAGAAAAGCGAGCGTTTTCTGAATTGGTAAGCAGGAAAAAGGAAATGATTTGGAACCGCATTAGACTTAGGAGTACGGCGAAGGCGGCAACAACGGAGTATTTAAGGAGACACTATCGGCATGGCACCAGAGATAATCTGTGTACTTCAGCTCTTGTTAACGACTTCAAAGCTCCCGTTTCTCAGGTAACTCTCTTTCTTTAAGTTCTAGAATTGTTTCAATTTATGTAATTGGTTGTTCTTTTATGAAAAACAAAAGCCTGATAATTGGATCACATTTCTTACATTTGCTATATGATTGAAATATGGTAGAATGGAAGAATCAGTGAGATGTTTTGATTTATTGAGTTAGATTAAGATTATTCTGAAATTTGGTATTCAAAATATAGTCTTTCTCTAGCGAACTAAAGAGCGTGCTTATCAAGTTTAATGCTATGGAGCAGCTCAAACTTAGATAAAAGTTGTTTCTTCCTTTCAATTTTGTTAAACTGATACGCAATGTTAAAATTTCATTCTTTTATGTAAGTACTACTGAGCTTTTTTTTTTGGGGGTGGTGGGGTGGTGGTGGGGGGGTTGTGTTACATAAGAGCTTAGACTAGAACTGTCAGTTGTCCGTGTTTTCGAATGGAGTTGATATACTCTATTGTGTATTTTATATAAATTTTTATACTTAACAGTTTGTGTTATATAAGTTTTGAACATATATATATTTGAATCGTATTGTTTTTTTTTTGTAGTTGTATCATATTAAGAATAAACCAAGTGTACTACTAAATCATATAAGATCCCAGCACCCCTCTAACATATAGAATGTGCTACCTGCAAAAAATATTGCTCTAAACATGTGAGTCTCCAGCTACTTTGGTTAGCCAGAGAAGCAAGATCATCTGCAGACCTATGAGCTTCTCTATAAACATGCAACACCTTTTATGCAGAGCTGTTGTTTAATGTTGTTTTCACTTTTTTTTATTTTGTTATGTTTTCTTTTCTTTTAAAGTGCTATTTGGAAGTGTTCATCTGCTGATATGGTGTTTTCATCTGTTTTCAAGAGTTATGGAAGTGCTCATCTGCTTAACAACTTTAGGAATTCGATTCAAGCTACTGTGAGATTTTGCACGTTAACTGTCTCTAAGGATGGTGTGTCTCAATCTCATTCCAAGACTCCTGAAGGGGCTACAGTTGCCAATAAAAAACCTATTGATTTCACCAAATTAGACATTAATCTGCTTCCCACTGTCATGATTGTTGGTCTTCCCAATGTGGGGAAGTCTGCATTGTTTAACCGGTTTGTAGCTAATTTCTCGCTCTCAAGCTCCTGTCTTTTTCAATGCATCACACAATTTTTTAATGTTATCTAATTGCTATTTTTATTTATTTCTGGTCAAATACTGTTTAGCTTGATAAGGAGGAGAGAGGCTCTTGTGTACAACACACCTGATGATCATGTCACCAGAGACATAAGGGAAGGGCTTGCTAAATTGGGGGATCTGCGGTTTAAAGTATTGGATTCTGCTGGCTTGGAAACAGAAGCTTCATCCGGATCTATTCTAAATAGAACAGCTGCCATGACCGCAAATGTGCTTGCTAGAACTCAGTTTGCAATTTTTCTTATTGATGTCAGGTCAGTCTTATTATGGATCCCTTATACATGCATGGATATCTACTTATGATTGCACAACTTGATTACTTTGAAAATTTAAGACCTTTTCTGATGTTTACTTTTAAAATTTATTTGAAAATTTTGAGAAGACATTACATTGCATCACATCAATTTCTTTAACATCTTTAATCATGGTGTTGGGTGCAAAAGTTTTCAGGTCATTATTTTGAGGGTTTCTTTCTCCAGTAGATGCTAATTAAAATTTATTTCTTTGTACTTTATTGAGTCTAGAACTGGGCTACATCCATTGGATCAGGAGGTTGGAAGGTGGTTATGCAAGCATGCACCAGGAATCAATCTTATAGTAGCCATGAATAAATCTGAATCGCTTCATAATGATACAAACTCTTTTGCTGAAGCTGCTACAGAAGCCCTGAAATTAGGATTTGGTGAACCAATTGCTATATCTGCTGATACAGGGCTGGGAATGACAACGCTTTATGAATCTCTCTGGCCAATGCTTGAGAGTTATATGAACAAAGTTTTAGATGGTAAGCACTTCTGTTATCGTTAAAACTCTCTGTCCTTCATGATCAAGATAGCTGTTGTGTTGCAATTAATTTTTGGGCTTTGTTGAACTTAGGAGATATTTGTTAAATAGAAAACTTAGTTATTGGATTGTTATTATGAAAATTGTTCGGTATTCTACTGAAGAAGAAAGCTGAAGAGATATTATATAAATTGAAAAAGTATATCACATTAACAGAAGTAAAAAATAGCTAAAAAGAAAAGAATACAAGGTTAATGTAATTAGCTAAAACTGGTTGTATTTATTAAGTACCTTTTAATGGCTTAAGATTGAAAAATGACTGAAAATTTTCCATTTAAGTGGATTTTAAAATAATATACCATACACATTGATAACATCAAACCATTAAAAGTTTTCATTTAAACGGGTCTAAGAATTTTCAGTGGTTCATCAAATACACCCTTCGCTTAGATTTTAGATCCAAACATACTATGGTGTGAATATAAATGGAACTTAAGCCATGGCTACATGATTTTCACTTTCTTTCATCAACTATGGTGGATTTCTAGGAAAAAGTGGATCATAGCCCAGGTGTTTTGTACACTTCTGAAGACACTCATTGTTTCCTCTGCCTGTTTTCTGACTTTATCATCCCGTTTGTTTTTTACTTTCCGTAGGCAACAGTAGCCAAGATGAAAACTTCAACCAGAATTGTGACTCTTGTAAGGTTGATGAAGAATCTAAGGTGCCACTACAATTAGCTATTGTTGGCCGACCGAATTTTGGGAAGTCGACATTACTGAATACATTGTTACAAGAAGATCGTGTTTTGGTTGGTCCTGAAGCTGGTTTGACTAGAGATTCAGTGAGAGCACAATTTCAGTATCAAGGAAGAACGATTTATCTGGTATAAATATTTAGCTAGTTTTAACTCTTTGTTTCATCACATGATTCTTGGGCTTTGATATAATCAAAACTGTCTATTTAAACATTATATGCCATATCTCTTTACATATATATATATATATGCCAAGTCTCTTTAAACTGTCCATTTTCGTTGTCTTTTGCTATCTAAATTATGTAGGCTCTATGAAGAACTATCCTCGTGAAAGTTATCATAAGGCAGTTTCCCTTTAATTATCATAATGACTAATCTAAATCCGAAATTTACAAAGGCTCTTCTCTTGGCTAGTCTGATATTGTATTTGTAGCTGTTTGGTTTAAGTCTTTGAATGAACTGATTTTTAGTTCAAGTATTTCTTATCTTGATTTTGATGTGTTTATATCCAGGTTTATACTGCTGGTTGGTTGCAAAGAGGAGATCGGCATAAAGGTCCCGCTTCATTGAGTATCATGCAATCGAGAAAAAATCTGATGAGAGCTCATGTAGTTGCTTTGGTTCTTGATGCTGAAGAGGTTTGTCATTCATTATATGTAATGTCTCTGATCGGGTTGGAGGCCAACCCTTTCTAATATGATGGGCATAATTGATGCTTCACATGTTTGGAAGCTTTAGGTCAATGTTGCTCCAACTCTTTATTTTTCTTTATGTGCTCATGTCTGACACACGATTATGGGGGATATGATCTCCAAGGACCCTCGATATATGAAAAATTAGAAAATCTGAACTACCCCGGGCAAATAATAGATTAAAATTTTGATGGTATGGAATAAGTGTAGATTTAATCTCATTGACATCTCTATGGGACAATGTTCTGGTTGCAAAAGCTTGGCGTAGCTTGACGCATGCTGAAGTAGTTGTAGCAAGACAAGCTGTGGAAGAAGGTCGTGGTCTGGTTGTAATTGTGAACAAGATGGATCTTCTAAAGGGGAAAAGAAATTCCGTGTTATATAAAAAAATCATGGAAGCTGTTCCTCAAGAAATTCAGATGGTTATACCCGAGGTCTGTCAGGTTAATCTCTATTTTCTATTTTAGTAATTAATAATAGAAGAATGTGTGAAAAAATTGAGATGTTATGTGATTTTCGTCGTACACCCGGATCTTATATAGATTAACTAATAATGGAAAATGTGTGAAAAATTTGAGATGTTATGTTCTTTTCGATGCACACCTGGATCTTCTATAGATGAATTATGTATTTGATTATCACCATTAGATGATCTTTTTATGTTATCATGGCCTTGGCAACAGATAACTGGGATACCAGTTGTGTTCATCTCAGCAATAGACGGAAAAGGGCGTGCTGCTGTCATGTCTCAAGTCATCGATACGTACGAGAAGTGGTGTTTAAGGTTGTCCACTGCACGTCTTAACCATTGGTTGCGCAAGGTCTGTGGTTGATATCTCTTACTTTTATTCTCATCTTAGAACCCTGAAAGTGTATAATTTTGTACTTGATTTGATATGTTTGTCTATTTCAATCCGTCGTTGTTTCTGTTGGTTTAGGTTACGAGCCGGCATTCTTGGAAAGACCACGGTGCTCAAACCAAGATCAAGTACTTCACTCAAGTGAAAGCCAGGCCTCCAACTTTCGTCACCTTCGTGAATGGGAACACCAAGCTTTCCGATACATATGTAAGGTTTCTAACCAAATCTTTGAAGGAGGATTTTGACATGGGCGGAATTCCAATCCGGATCATGCAGCGTTCTGTTCCGAGAATGTCCGGAGGGAATAACAGTAAGAGCAGCCAATCTGCCGGTAAAACGGTTGAACGCACACCATCGGACAAAAGAAGCGTCCTTGTTTAGGCATGGCGCTGGCAGTTAATTTCTTTGTAGGAGGAAAACAGGCAGGATGAAATTGGAAAAAGGATAGATTTGTCCCTTCAAATTAGAAGGTTTTATTTGTTTATTAAATTATGCAGGCTTTATTTGTATTAAATTGTGTAAATTTAACTTGGGTGATTTTTTGTAATTTTTATAGATGGACAAAAAAACATCTTATAGTCAGTACCATCCGTATTGTTTACCCATTTAATATTAATTTTTTTAAGTAAATATAAAATCAATTTTCTGATATGTTTTTTTTCTCTTATTGATTTTCAACATAATAAAAAAATTCAAAATAGATCAAATTCAGTCTCGACCCTTTTATTATATTCAAATTTGAAATTTAGTCTATATACTTCAATTTGGTGAATTCAGTGACTACATTAACGTCATTTGTTTGTTTAAATAGTTTAATTTTTATTAAAATATTCATGAAATTTTTTCTTCAAAATATTTAAATTTAACTAATTAATAATTAGTCTATCGGCGTGAGTTGTTATAACGTGCTTCTATATTATTTGATTTAAATTAATCGGGTAATAAATTGAATGTATGTGGTTATACAAAAAATATATTCCAATTTAACCAGAACCAACTAACAATTAGTCTATCATTATCGACATTATGTCCTTTACGTAAGATTGGTGATTTGGACGTTATATCTTTTATAATATTTGGTCTAGATTAATCGGTTAATAAATTATATACAAATAATTATATAAAAAATATTTTAATTCATTACGATGACATAATTTTTTTTGTATGTTAGAACGAGTGTGTTTAATAAAATATTTCCTCGCAACAAGAGGTTGATTGCTGAAATATTTCCTCGCAACAAGGTTTGTACTCTTCAAGTTATGTAAATTTCCACATTTATACCACATTGTTTTATGCTAGGTGATGAACCTATAAAATTATAGGGAGAGGGAGAAAATAAATTATCAATAAAAAATAAAAATAAAATACCTAAATTATATCAGAATTTGAAATTTTCAAGTGTGGCGACCGCCCCAGCCAGCCCCCTCCCTGGTTAAGTTAGCTAATGCTTGTTTACGTATAGGGCTTGGGAGTACTTTCTTTTACGAGTTTTGGGACATCTGCATATTTGCTAATTTATAATGCAACCCTGCAGGTGGCTAATGCTTTAATTCAATCATTAAATGGGTTAGCTAAGCAAACATTAGTCATAAGATGGTGATTGAATCATTTTAATCATTCTGTCTTTATAATGTATGAAGATTTGCAGCTTTAGCATTTGTTTGTATTTTGCTTTAAATTATATCCTTCCACCTTATTTAATCATATAAGTTGAACTTTTTATGTCATAGGAAGATGGACCAAATGATCGCAAGATTGAAAAACTACGTGAATATGTTTCGTAAAATCCTTTACGCATCCCAAAGGTATAGTATATTTCTAAGCATCGGATATGCTTTTGATGTGTTAATATTACTTTGAAATCTTACTGTTTCATTATTAGTTAATTATGCTAGTATCCTTATAACTAGTTCTGGCAAATGTTATGATCAGATCAATGATTCCCTTGAGCAAAGGTGCTACAAGGAGTTGAGGAATGAGAATTTTCAATCAGTGAAAATTGTTATGTGCATTTACAAGAAGTTACTATTATCTTGTCAGGACCAAATGCGAGTTTCTTCTGTTGCAAACTCTATGGCTTTGTATCTCACTGTTTTGAATCATATCAAGACTGTTCTATTATGGGATATTTTATTCTTTCTTGTTTTTCGATTTCCTTATCCAAAGTGATTTATAATAAAAACAAGGAACCTCAATTCTCCAAATTCTTATCTAATATTTATTTTTATAATATTGTGCTTAGATGTGATTGTAAGTCTATTTCAACAAGGAAAATACTCTTCATTCAATAATGAAAAAGCCTCCTCTTATCAGTATGATACTCTTATTACTGAAACTTGGTATACCTTTATGGATTCTTCCCTTGAATATTGAGATTGGTCTCGAAATTTGAGAATGTTAAGTGTTTTTCTATTATTTGTACTGATAAAGATGTAAGTGATCATGTCTCTTGATAAAATGTTTGAGTTGTTAAAAAGAAAAGTCTGTTCATATTAATCATGTTAAACCTTTTACCAAAAGATCGAAAACATCCACATAGAAATTTCAGGGTCAATATCTCAATCAAACGCGCCAGAAGAATTTTTAATTGTCTTCCTACTTTTAGTGTTTCCTTGAACTCATTTGATTTCTGGTTATCAACCATTTTTTATAGGACACTATTTGCTACTAGTTTACAGAGCATATAAAGACTTTGCTGGATCAAACAAGGCAGTATGAAATGCAAATTCTAGGATGTCACTCTTTTGACTTTGTAATTAATCAGGTTGGTACTTTAAGCATTACTTGTATGCTTCAAGTGTCATGAAAAATGGGTTTCCAGCTTGCGGAATTATTTTACTTTTATTAGTTGTTAGGTTTATGGAAACAGGCTTCAAACTCATTTTTATATAGCAAATTCTGCAGAAGGATAGTATTTTCATGTCAAACTTAGAAGGCTTTATTCCAAAAGTTTGTCAGTTAGCTCAAGAAATCGGGGAAGGTGAAAGGGAGATGAATCTACGTTCAGCTGGGCTGCAAGCACTTTCTTCATTGGTATTCTCATTCAAGAAGCTTCTCTTGTTTCGACATGCATTAATATATCAACTTTTAGTTGGATTTCTTGGAAATACATGATAAAAGTGAACCTTATATCATATAACTCGACCAACAATTGTATAGGTTCTGGGAAATTAAGCCAGAACAAACTAATACTATATACAGTACATGCAGTGGAGGCAGAGGAACTAAATTCGAAGGTTTTACTTAGAATGAATGCCTTCAAGGTTCACTTCAATTTACCTTTCTCAAAAGAACCAAGGCAATGGTTTTCCCTTTCACAATTATTCTTTTCTTCCTTGCAGTTCACGTTTTTCTATGTCCAAATTGTATATATAATTACTCTAATGCACGTTTCAATTTTTTATCTTCTGGTGCAGATTTGGTTAATGGGTGAACATTCTCACATTTCGGCAGAATTTGATAATGTAAGTTGATTATGACTTATTAAAATACATTTACAAGTTTATTGCTTTGCTGTTAACTTGTTTATTTTCTTCAGTCCCTATGTTTGAATGTTTTCAGCTATATTGATGGATTTCATTTATGAAATCCTCAATTGATGTGATCGTTTACTTTCTTAACAGACCAAAGTGGCTAGTTAAAAAAGTATTAGTCATCTGTCGAGTCTTTTAAATACAATCTTGCTGGTTTCAGTACGATCTTAACATATATTAAACAGAGTAGTTTGGTCATTTTCAGTGCAGTTGATTCCTTCATGCTTTAATGCCCCTCTTTTCCCTTTGGTTTGTTATCAAAATCATGTATGCAGCTGTAATTCTTAAGAACCTTTAATTAATTGCAGCTATCTCAGTTTTGTGGTTGTTTTGTACCATTTGCATTAAAAGAATTTTCAATTATCAACCACAGATTGTTTCAGTTGTCTTGGAAAATTATGGAGTCCCGAATATAAATTCAGAGAACCTTAATGGTGGCCAAAGTCAATGGGTGCAAGAAGTGCAAAGAATTGAGTCGTACCACTCCGCAAAAAGTTCTCATAAATGTTCCTTCATGGCGTAGAATTGTAAATGCTAAAGGGGAACTAAATGTCTCAGTGTAATCCCATGACTCAAGTTTTGGATTTAGTTTTGCATTTGGTTTAAAATATTACCTGACAATGAGTTTTTTCCCCTCACAGGGTAGATGCCCGGAATCCCTGCTTCTGGTCCAGGGTTTGCTTACATAATATGGCAAAACTAGCAAAAGAAGCTACAACAACACGACACGTTCATGAGTCTATGTTTCGTTACTTCGATAAGGAAAAGTTATGGTCTGCAGAAAATGGTCTTGTCTTGCCGGTCTTAAGGGAAATGCAGAGTTTAACAGATAGTTCTGGTACTCATGCTCATTTTTTCTTCTGTCCCCCCTCTTATCTATTTCTGATTAATGTTCTGTTCTGCTTTTCCTAAAAAAATATATGACCTTTAGACGGTGAGAAAAGTGATACTATTTGTTTCCCTCGTTTGCAGGACAGAATGCACACCTTTTGCTGTCCGTACTAGTTAAGCATCTTGATCACAAAAGTGTCCTCAAACAACCTGACGTGCAACTTCAAATTGTAGAAGTTATAACATCCCTTGCTAGAGATTCAAAAGTTGAGGCTTCTGTAGCAATAATCAGTGCAGTTAGTGATGTTGTGAGGCATTTACGAAGGAGCATACATTGCTCGCTTGACGATGCAACTATGGGAACTGAAATAATATATTGTAACAAGAGCTTCAAAGAAGTAGTGGATGATTGTCTAGTACAGTTATCGCATACGGTGAGACCCTTTTGTCATTCTTGAGTAGATGTGTTACTAAAACTCGGGTTAGATAATCTAAGCTAATTACTTAGTTTTTTATTTCATGTTTTTTGTTCTTGTGAACAGGTTGGTGATGCAGGTCCAATTCTTGATGCTATGGCTGTGATGTTGGAGAATATCCCAAATATTACAGTTATAGGAAGAACTACAATCCGTGTTATTTATTGCACAGCTCAGATCATAGCCTCAATTCCAAATCCATCCTATCTAAACAAGGTAATGATCATATTATTGATTCATTCTATCCAAATCACACCCTCATCAATTTTAGATCGGAATAAACTGAAAATATGTTTTTCAACTTCTTGATTTCCTCATCATGATCTTCAAACTCCCTGTATAGATCAAAAGAAAAATTAGTCCCTAAAAATTCATCAGTCAAATGATCAATTATATCAACAGAATTTATGCTATCTACATTTTCAGGATATTTCATTGCCTTATACACATCAAATTTAACGATCTCACCACCTAACTCCATGGTTAAAGTCCCACTTCTTACGTCAATATTTGTGTGCGCAATACTTATAAAGGGACGCCCAATAAAATATCGGAAGAAGTGCTTGTGTGATCATTCTCCATATCAAATACATAA